TATGCAATTTTAGCTGGTTCTGTACAACTACTTTGGATGTAGAGGCTGGGTTTTAATCCATTTTCTTAAACATAAAAGCAATTTACCATTTAAAAGGCGGAGCCTAGGAGCAAGTAGTGCAACTACATACCTATTGTTATATATGTGGAAGGCCTTGCACTTGCAGATAAGAGTAAGCTATGAGTGCAAATCGCAAACAAAAAAATCTGCAGTTCCTTAGTCAGAGTCGTGAGAAGGATGCACAATAACAGGAGGCCATAACAAACCAATATACATCCAATTTATAAACATGTCTAGCTTATCGGAATGGAAGGCACGAGGGATTTGAGATGCACTACACAAGACTCCGGACTACGGCGTTCTTCCATAAGCAGCACGCTATTGGCGTGAAGAACTGAGTTATGGTCCTTGTCCTCAATGGTGATAACAGGAGCTTGGAGCATGGGCGAGCCCATCCTCTCAATAACTTTATCATCATTAAGCCATTAAGTAGACAATGTGACTAGCAGTTCATTAAGCCTGCCATAGCATGCATTGCCATACATGCATGTTTCTTTTTTCTTGAAAAAGGGATTGCCGAGTTAATGTTTCCTAGCCTTGTCGAGGGAAAACCATCTCTTAGGGTAAACCCACCCACGGTGTCCGTAGGAAGTGTCTAGAGAAGAGAGAGAGCCATAAATATCCATTTAGGCATAATCTGCTTCAATGTATAGTGTCCATAGCTGTGTCTACAGATGAAACAAATTAAATATCTTTACTGTGTATATGCAAGGATCAGCTATAGCAAAAATCCTAAAGATCAGATATGGCATAGGGGAGGACGACACAAAGAATCAGGATATCTAGAAAAATATCGAGGGTAAGAAACAACTAATCACCCCCAATGCTGCTTTGGTTAGTATTCAGGGCCTTGATGCACACACCGATCTAGTTTCGTGCATGTGATATTGTTTCCTCTTTTTTCTTGCTCTCCCTTCTTTAATTACCATGCCACATCCAAATTTTGATCAAGTGGCATCATAAGAAATTCTATACACATCAGCTTACGTGGTGGGTTGTGACTGCCGTTAATGGTATATTTGAATCTGCTCTTTAAACTGCTTTGTAATCTTTCTTCCCTAGAGCAAGTGCTGGTCAATAAGTGGCAGGCAACTCATTTGGGTGTATCATAATGCAGGAACAGTTTTGCAATTTAGCTCAAAAGTAGAGTCAACTTCTTCAGGGTTCAGACTTGTTCTTTGCATGAATGGCTGTACTCGCTAACCTTAGAGTGAGTACATTACATATTAAGCGGAATAATTAATTATTTGTCACTCTTAGAGTGGTGATAAAAGATTTGCCACTGAATCCACATATCATAGACAGAAGAGAGTCCACGTGTCATAGACAGTGAGTGGTAAATAAACAATTACCACATCTTAAAAGTGGTAAAATTTAAATGTCCCATAATAAGCAAAACGACCGCAATACACCCGATGCATGTGTGGAGATTATAGACACCAGATGTCTACAAGGTCAATATATATGACTGCTATTAGAAGATGGACCATGGCTGTGGTATTTGTATTTATATACATTTTAGTTGCTAGAGTTTCCTTGCCGGTTAGGATATGACCCTAGGTTCTAACCAGGTAATATTTTGTAATACTAAAGAAAGTTTATGCCGAGTTCGGTCGGGTTTTCTACTTGTACCCTTAGCTTCTTTTTTTAGATAATGATGTACCCTTACCTCCTAACCTATATAAGGGTGGGGAGCCCTTCAAGAGGATATAGTGAAACACACCAAGATTGTCATATCAATACAACACCAAGCAAATATAATCACTAAACAGAAGTAGGGTATTATCGCTACTGAGAGGGTCTGAATATGTCTAAAGCTTTGTCTTTGTATCCATCCGGTTTTACACCTTGTGCACTACCCATTTTGTTATTGCCGGTATAAAACATCGCGATAACTTGATTGCACCACAACATCGGTGAACTGCTTCATTCCCCTTCACATAAGACAGTGTGCATATACTGCTACATGCCAAGCTCGTTGGAATGGGAGGCATGTGGGACATGCGATCCACTATGCAACTCTACGGGATCCATCCATCGTCCTTGTTTGGCTCTGTTCGTTAGTGAAGGACTGGAGACAATCCCCGACGCTGCACTCGGAGAGTGGAAACTTGGAACCTGGTGGTGTGTGCGCCCTTTGGGTACCTTCGAAACACCATAAGTTAGCCAAGGAAATGCACCTGATAAATCCCTCTCGCATGCAGGTCATTGTTGACAGACCCAGGGACGACCAAGGGGAGAACCAGATATGTTGATGTGCTCAGCCCATTTCAACCAGCTTCAGTGACAAGCTAAAATTCTCTTAACATTAGTAAATGACAATATTTTTCCAGACAAATATAAATATGCCATTATGATGTTTTCAAACTTATAATAAACAACATGGCAGCGCACACAGCGAGACAACTCAGACCATTGTGTAATTTGGCTTTAATAAGTGGAGGACCCAAGCAACTGAAATACGGAGTAAATGGCATCCCCTAAAAAAAACTGAAATAAAATTTAGACATTGTTGTTTAGGTGGATAGCTCTGCTCAGTATGCGAGGAGTGCACGGAGCAGAGAGTAATCAGTAAGCAAGGATTATAAAGAGCAGAGTAAGCAACACGACTGCAATGTTAGATGATTGACAACATAACATGCCTAGCTGTTCGGAATGGGAGGTATGACGAACTTCAGGATTTGAGAAAGTTCGCAAGTTTGTAGCATCCAGCCTTCACCTATGGGCAGTTTGACCAAGTTGTGAAGAACAGAGTCGATCATGGCCCGTGTTTAGTTCTTTGGCTAAATTTTTTTTACGTATACGGACACACATTTGAAGTATTAAATAGACTAATAACAAAACAAATTACAGATTTCGTCTGTAAATTGTGAGACGAAACTATTAAACCTAATTAATCCGTCATTAGCAAATATTTACTGTAGCACCACATTTGTCAAATCATTGCGTAATTAGGCTCAAAAGATTTGTCTCGTAATTGACATGCAAACTCTGTAATTGGTTTTTTTTTCGTCCACATTTAATGCTACATACATATATCCAAACATTTGATGTGATGGAATTTTCGGAAGTTTGAAGCTAACTAAACATGGCCATGATACCCCTCCTGGAGGTTAAACTGAAAAATCTCGGAGGTAGTGAGTCCATTCTGTCTGTGTCAGCATAGCAGTACAAGCTGGCTGCAACATAACAGGGTCAAGTTATTTCGCCCAAGTCCAATGACACGACGAAATCCCCTGTCTAATGTTTGTAGTATTTGTATTAATATTGAGCAATCACGAGGGTAAGCAGAAAATGCGGAGTAACTAGCTTGGTTGGTTGCAATCCACTGGATAGTGTGATGAACACACTGATGTAAGGCACTAATCCGAAGTTACCATTTTATTTAAAGAAAAATTTTACCATCCAACATTGATACCTTGAGGTAGTATAAATTTTTGGTAACTCGAGATACTTTTTAGTATACCTCGAGGTATCAATGTTTGTTGTTAAAATTGCTCTTATTTAAAAGTAGTTAATGTACTCCCTCCTTACCTAAATGTTTGACGCCGTTGACTTTTTTAAACATGTTTGACCGTTCGTCTTATTCAAAAACTTTTGTGAAATGTGTAAAACTATATCTATACATAAAAGTATATTTAACAATGAATCAAATGATAGGAAAAGAATTAATAATTACTTAAATTTTTTGAATAAGACGAACGGTCAAACATTTTTAAAAAAGTCAACGGCGATAAATATTTTGGGATGGAAGCAGTATTAAAGTTACTAGGGGTGCAAGTTACAGAGCAAGCGAGAAAACTGCAGATCTCTGCAACCCAAAGTTGTGAGACGATTGCACTAAGACAGGAGGTAAATTACTTGAGGCTGCATACATCCAACTTATACAAATTCACTTGTCTATCTACTTGGAATGGAAGGCATCAAGGATTTCAACTCCACCAGATTAGTCTCTCCAAGCTGCACACTTCACCCAAAGAGTGGGTTGTCCCGGCAGTGGAGAACTGAGTCATAGACATCCTCCTGAACCATGTTGGCTAGAACTTGGACTGTGTGATCAGTCCAACCTCTAAGTATCTCCCTACCTGTAGGAAGGCATGGATGAAGTCGGAGGGTAGGAAAGTTAACTAGGAGAAAACCTGCATCAGAGTATGGCAAAAAATTTGTTTGCATTAAATTTGTTTGCAAGGAATGATACATTCAGCTTTACTGCGACAAACTGCAAGTGTTTTAAGTACCACGTCAGAAACTGCTTGACCGTTGTTATTAAACATAGGAACAGAACATGCAGTATTATTCGTGCAACATTCTTCTTGTTTCGCATAACAAATGACAGTAGTTCAAAAAGAATAAGAAAAGTGATTTTTTACGGTCCAGCGCTCGGTACCAAAAATTGAACCATTGAATCCAGGATGGGTAGGATCGGGACAGAAAATGAGCAAGGGTGAATGTGCTCGTAAATCCCGGCACTGCAGGCAGCGGCATCATCGATCCATGCGGCGGTGACATTGAAGTGTTCAATCCCAGTGGTGAGGACTCGTCGATTCCAGCAATCTAGGCAACCGCCGATTGAAGACGTCATTCCCGGTGGTGGCGGAGTTGAAGTCCAGGCGTTGAAGTTGTCGATCTAGGCGGCGGCGAGGACTCGTCGATCCTGGCGGAGTAGAATCCCAGCGCCGACTGGCTGAAGAGTAGGAATCCCGACGCCGATGGGTGGCAGGAGCAGGAGTCATTCTCGGCGCATACGGGCGGAGAAGGAGGCTAGATGCAAGGCAGGCGGCGGTGGATCGCGGTACATTGTTGCACACAAAGTTACATTTTTGCCATTCCACCTCTGTCCTCCGAGAGGTACCGCATTAGGGACACAATTGGTACCTCAGGATACCAAACTCTACCAGCCGTTGGAATTTTGGTACCTCTCAATATTTTACACTCGAAAATGTGGTAACTCATAGTATCTTCTCAACGATCATAAAATAAATCCAAGTACATACATGTGGCAGAGCAGAAGGTGTACCAGACTGTTAATGATGTAACACAATATGTACACAAGTATTTTCTTTACAATAAGATAGATGGGGAAATGACAAGCTATGTTGAAGGTAGAAAAATACATCATGCAACAATTTAACAGCATGACAATCATAGTTTACCGTGGAAGACTTCCGGATAACATAAATTCTTCCTGCAGGCTATAGCAACCTGGAGATGCTAAATTAGCCATACTGTTGATTCCAATCCCCGTAGCTTGATGATAATCTACATGTCCTTCTGATTGTGGAGTTTGCAGCTCATCGCTATCTTCTGGAGAAACTGTGCCTGATCTGAAACCTTTATTTCTTATAGATTGTAATGACATCTCTACTTGCTTCATAGTTGGCCGTTCTTCACCTCTAAGCCTCAAGCATGCCCGGGCAATTGAGGCGACAATGTTAATTTCATCCTCAGTTGCTTCTTCAAGAACTTCAGGAGCAGCTATCTCTGCAACTGGCCTTCCTTTTAGCTCAGAAAGGAAGTAAATAGATAAATTTTTCTTTGAACCAGATTCACTGTCAAAAATAGGTTGCTTCCTGAGAAGCAGCTCTAAAAGAACAACACCAAAACTGTAGACATCACTCTTCTCATTTAGATGCCCGGTATGGTAGTACTCAGGATCTAAGTACCCAAATGTGCCTTGGATATTTGTAAAAACATGGGTTTGATCATTAGGAATCAGTCTTGATACCCCAAAATCTGATACCTTAGCGGTGTAGTTGGCATCCAAAAGTATATTCGAAGATTTCACGTCACGATGTAAAACAGATACTGATGCTGCAGAGTGGAGGTAATATAAAGCTCCCGCAGCTTCGGTGGCAATTCTCAAGCACTGATCCCAGGACAATGTGAATTCTCTCATACTTGGATCAGCGTGAATAATGCAATTTAGTGAGCCATTTGGGACAAAGTCATACACCAGTAGAGGGACTTCGGTTTCAAGACAACATCCAAATAGTTTTACAATGTTCCGATGATTTATCTGCGATAGTATTGCAACTTCGTTGATGAACTGACTAATCTCTTCTTCCCTAATGATGTTTGGTTTTTTTATAGCTACCACACGCTGGTCGGACAATATGCCCTTGTAAACCATACCATGCCCTCCACTACCAAGAACACGTGCTGGATCAAAGTTATTTGTTGCCTCTTTCAGCTCTTCTAGGGTGAAAATTTTTGTGCTATCAGTAGCGCATTCATCAGATGATATAAGTTGCTCTAGAAGAAGGCCTTGATTTTTTCGAAAATATTTCTTCCTTAATTGCTTTTGGATATCATTCTTTCTTTTACGGACAAGGAATGCTACGGTTAAGACAAGAAGAAGAATTCCGAAACCAACTCCTAGGCCAATTGCAATACCTAGAAAAACATATACACATGTTAGTTTATTTATTTTTTCAATTAGATGTAACGACAAGTAAAAGTTTCATGAGGTAATTTAAATGAAACCATACATCTAAGATTAGTTTAATATTCAGTGAATATTATTTTGTCTACTTGTTTAATGCTGTGAAAGAGACCGGCATTACAAAACCCAAGTTATTTTAATTTTTTTGAAATATTTGTAGAATGCAAAATACATTGTGCTACTTCCTTTTTAAATGATTTTAAGGGGCCCAAATGCATTTCATGTGAACTTTAAAGCAAATATTGGCTATAAAAAATCTTGCAGTATTCTGAGGATATGTGTTTACCGAATGCTAGTGGAAACTCTTTTCGGCATGGTCCAACAGAAGCATCTCCTCGAGTACCCGCAGGGCAAAAACAATCGAATCCTCCAAGTTTGTTGATGCACTTCCCATAGCAAGGGTACTTATTAGAATCCTCACACTCGTTAATATCTACAATCATATTTCACATTGATGTCAAAATTTATGATGTTACTCCCAAGAAAACAAATATTGCTTGATGGCATGCAGTAAGCTAAAAAAAAGTTGTATATAACACTATTAACAAGCTTTGTTTCGATTATGGCTAAAGAGTACAGTTTGAGGTTTAGCCACCCAGAATGTTACAGACATGGATCAAAACATGGGTGAGTTGCTAACACCAAAGTTTACATGCATTTAATTATTAATAACACATTCAAAATTTTGTGTCTCCATGATATGTGCTGGTTCTAGAACCGACACCAAGAAGGAACACCGATGAGAGATGGTCACTAGTGCCAGTTCTAAAACAAAACCAACACTTACAGTGCTGTCTGCGATTTTGATTTTGCTTACATGTCATGTTGAAGATCCATTAAACTGAGCAATTAATCTTAGCATGTGGCAGCTATGATAAATTCATTCTTGCGCCAAGAAGCATGCATACCATAACTGGAAGTTATTAAACCATGGTAAAATTGGAAAGACGCCATTTCGAATTAGCTATTTAGTCAAAAAAAAAGCAAGTTACATTAACTCTACTTCTTTTAGGATTACATTAACTCTTTTTTTTGACCTAAGTCGCTGTATTTTGAAAATTATTAACGAAGATATGCACCGAATGGTTAAATTTATAGTATTAATGATTAGTAAACATAACTCATGCAACGCACGGGTTGGTGATTAGTAAACGCAATATCTGTAAATCATAGGCGTAGTGAAATATTCACCTTGGCAACCATCATGACCCTGAAGGTAAGGATTCCCCTCAAATCCTTGAGAACATTTGCAGAAGTATCCTGGTCCATTGCTCGAGTCAATACACACGCTGTTGCTGCTAGCACATGCATATGAATCTAAATGTTTTCTTGCTTCGGCGCAGGTATTGTTTGCTACAACCCAGTCCACCACAAATGGAGGCTCACCACCGAAAGGGTTGCTGAAATTCGATGACGTGGCATAAATCGTGGAGAATTTGAAGCTGGCCTCCTCCACTAACGCTCCATAACTGCAACGGGACCAATTGTGGATGACTGATGTGTTGAAGTGTGTGTCAAACCAAACCTTGTAGTGCTTGATCCCTTTGGGGATGGCCGTCTGACAGCAGCCTATCCCAGAGCATCCTTCACCATTGATGCTTAAAAGATCATCACCCTGGCCACAACTGGTGGCACAGCCAATTGTTAGGTTACTGCCTACGGCGCTCTGCCCACCAGGACCGAGGTAACCAAGCATTCGACATCCAAAGACCGTGAACTTGTTGGCACTGTTAGAGAATGTGAAAGGACTTCCCGTCAAGCTCAGATTTGCCTTGTCGACGCAGTCCATGTCATGTTTCGTCATGTTGTAGCATTCGTATGACATAGGCATCCTCATGCGAGCCTAACCTTCTGGCAACGAGATGTTGAGCAGCTCCACATTCCGGAGAAGCAGCTTGGGTATGCTGTTACCGGTACTGTTGCAGATCAGCTCAAAACCAGGCATGGCGCAGCCAGCCTGACCTTTGATGCCGAATGGAAAAGGGATATCTATGCTACCACAACTTCTCTGGCAGGTGGATGCTGCAACTACAGCAAGACCACCTGAAGTTGCTATGGTGAGACATAGTAGAGTAGGGAAGATCAATGCCTGAATCATCTTTGTTGCTGGAAAAAATAAGATTGCTAGCTAGATGTTGTCCACCTTTGTGTCCAAGGTCTGGTATATATAGCTCCATATGAGTGATATAAGTTTATTAGCTAGCAATTTTAGCTTTCTCAGTTTTTTATGCAATTTTAGCTTTCGCTTTTTCCATATTTTTCCCAGCTAAAATGAAATTACTCTCATAAAGTACAAGTCCTCACACCCATTAATATCAGCAATCGTATTCTCCGATTTTCATATCTCGTATTTCCGATGTACTTAAATGAAAGACACCAGAATTATCTGATATAGATTTATAATTGTCATACATTTATTGAAAAAAAAAGATGGAGTATTATCTATTAGCTTCATCAGAATGCACCGCTCGAAATACCTTGACTTGGACTTTTTCTAGGTCTTCCTCACTTATTGCTTTACCAGGAATTTCCATGACTAGTTGTTTTCACAACACCAACTCTATTTATGAATCCAATTAAATAATTCATTTGCCTGCATATCCATGGACATACATCACACCAGCTTGTCATAACCCGATTCAATCGTATACAGAAGAAATGCATGGGTATGAATAATTGTCTAGCTTTGCATCCAATGAATTCTAGCTCTACCAGGGAGATTCTTTTCTATTGCAGTATAATATTTTAGATAATGGAGAGTCTGATGTCTGCACATCGCGCATCCAGCTACCTAAAGTTCGCAATGACAAAAATCCAAGACTATGCACCTGCCAAATTGGGACAAGAGATCGTTCTCTACCCACTCCAACTCTGTAGATCCATTGAGCACATTATCCGGACACGGAAACGAGCCGATCGGAAATATAATCTACAAAGATTATAAATACAGCAACACCGCACATGGCCAACATACAGTGCACCAGTCCCATCAATATTTTGTAATGGCATATATATATGCATCCTCCTTAATTAAATGGCAGATCGGTTTGTAATTTTCGATTCAAGCCAATGCATCGAGCCAGCTTTTTGTTTTTTTCATTCCTAGAACCTTAAAGGTGCAGGTTCCTAAACATCACCATTGAGTCCTCCTCAAAGGCGCCGCCTGCTAGTTGCTGGTTCAGAAATCCAACACCTATGACCAGTTCCTAACCGGCACCGATCTCCTTCTCTGTAGTAGTGATAATTATTCCGTTTATAGGAAAAAATGGTTATAATGTCTTGTTAACTTAACATCTTTCATTTTTTTTTCTAAAAGAAAGGTTTTATTTTACATACTTTTAAAAAATATAATCTGGACATTTGGAATTCAATACGATGCATACTTTTCTCGTATATAATATCCATAAAAAGAAGTGATTGGCCCCACGTGATGTTCCCCTGCCTCTTTTTTCTCCTATGAAATGATATCACTTATGTTAGATATTTACTCACTCTGTTGCAAAATACTATGACTTTTTGAAATTTGACACAGGTATCAAGGAGAAATGTAAACTAAAATTATGGATGATTTTTGATTGGTTAAGATGAAAAAGTAGGCAGATAAATCAAATTGAAGATGGTTGTGATTTGTTGAGAGGAAGAAAAGGTTGCTATATTTTTAGGAAAACATGGAATGTTAAAGGTAACTACATTTGGGATGGAAGGAGTATTTAGCAAGGGGATGAGGGAGGACTACCTTAAGCTGCATCTCTTTTAAGGAGAATTGAAAGACACTTTCCCACTGAAACTTATATTTGCATGTACTTCTTATACTCACTTACCTATTCACCTTTCATAATCCTTGCGGTACAACTCTTTCTATACTTTTTAACATCAGGAGCATTTGAAGAATTTCTAATGCTCCATCAATCCAAAAGTCATTATATTTTATTTTATGGTTGTTTCATTTACCCCCCTTAACTATCACGGTCATTCGATTTACCCCCCTTAACTACAAAACCAAACATTTGACACCCTCAATTATTTATACCGAACAAATTACCCCCCTCAATAGTATTTTGAGCAGTTTTAAGTTGAGCGTGCACATGTCGGGCCAACGTGGAAATCCAATCAGTAAAAAAAATGCTTCCCCGGCGCCCACCTGTCATACCCCTCCCTCAACCCAATACTTCCCCATCACTCTCTCTCTCACACACACATACACACACTCCTCTCACACACACACACACACACACACACACACACACACACACCCGGGCGGCTGGCTGTGGAGGAGGAGGCGGACTGGGTGGCCGGCGTTGAGAGGCTAACGAGGAGCTTGCCCGGGCGACTGGCGGCGGAGGCGGAGCTCCTCTAGGAGGTCCGACGGTAGAGATGGAGATCGCCCACGCGGCGGAGGAGGTGGACCGGGTTGCTGGCGGCAGAGGCGGAGAACACACGAGCGGCTGGTGACTGAGGCAGAGCTCACACGGGAGACAAGCGGCTGAGGCGGGGATCGCCCGGGCGGTGGGCGGCAGGCAGCGGAGGCGGGGCTGGTGCCGCACGCGGCAGAGAGCTTGCTCTCCCATGACGGCCCTCCCTGCCGCGCCCGCCACCCGCCCTTCCCCGCCGTGACCTCCATTTGGACCACCGCCGCTGCCTTCTCTGCCTGGACCACCGCCGCCGCGCTGCACTGCAGGAAAGGGGTGGGCGGCATGCTAGGAGACGGCGGCAGGCTCGTCGCCGCCTTCATGAGAGCTACGGCTCCACCGCCGCAGATCCCAACTGGCGGCGCCGCGACGGTAGGTCCAAGCGGCACCGTATCGACGGCAGTATCCGGATGCAGAGGCCCGAGGCAGAGAGGTTGACCCTCGAGGACTCGCGTCGTTGCTTGGCCTTCCCGCTCGTCAAGATCGATGGGTGAGACACGGCCGAGGGAGAGGATGTGGCGGGGACGCTGCCTTCCACCGCGTATGTTACTGCCACTGCTGCCGCCGCCTAATGCACGCTGTCTTCATCCGCTGTCTCATGGTGGTCGTCGCTGCCTTCCTCTACCTCCAACCGCTTCGGGTTGATTCGGGGGGGTGATTCATCCAATATGTAATGCTCGAGATGTAAAATATCTGGTTTTGTAGTTAAGGGGATAAATCAAATGACCGTGGTAGTTCAGGGGGAAAATCCATACTTTTTCCTTTTCAAAAATGAGATGGTCGTAATGGTAGTCTCGATGCATCTAACACATAATTGAAGATCTTGCCTTTTTGCTAGATTATATTGTTGACCGGAACCTGAGCAGCCATCTTAAGACTCGTTACAGACCTGGATGCATGCATACAAAAGAAACTTCTATGGGATAGGTTAATACTCACTGCATGCAGGCAAAAGTTTAGTTACATGCTGATGAGTTAATTTGCTGTTGGTCTTCACAACAAAAGATATACGCCAGGGACTTTTGCATGCCGTCTGTATCCCGTTGATTCATCTTAATTTTAGTTGTAAGAGGAAATAACCAAAGTGTCTCACATTAATAGGAAAATAGTATTTTCAACGGTATATTTGTTTTTAGGGGTTGGGAACCCTTCCTGCCTAGCCGGCAAAACAAACACTACAGCATGACACAAAATCCCCAACGGAAAATCGGTTAGCAAAGACCACATTCAAAGACAAACTGTCCGTCGGCAAAAGTATAGATGAATTATTTCCATATGATTTTGGATGGGAATGTTTGGACATGGTGTAGTGAAGAGATGGAACAGCATATGATTATTTATTAGCTAAAAAACTGAAAAAGTTGATTAATATGGTTTTTAAAAGGAAATTTTAAATAGACCCTTTATATTAAAGACACACTATTTAGCAGTCTAGCAAGCGTGCACGTAAAAAACGGTAAAAAACGAGGTGATAGAAGTTTGGAAAGAGGAGAAAAGAACACACACCAATACCTCTTCCATCCCAAAATATGTAGAGATACCTCTTACCATTTGTGCCAAAATTAGTGGATTTATATCTCCTTTCCTACCTCAATCGAGGAGTTGATATATATATTTAAAATCTCTTACATACTATGCTAGTGAGTTGATATATGGAACGAGGTGATTTTTTTCCCTACATACAGATTTGTATCCCAGTCTCTACAAACTAACTTCTTTTGAGGGATGAATGTTACCGTGCTCTCTACCAGTAGAAATGATGTGTGGACCGTTCATTCCTAAGGTCATCTTAGTACTCGACTAACTCAATGATTAGGGTAAGTTTGCCATTAGCTTTTTTGTTCTCTTGATCGCTGGCAGATTGCTCACATTCGATAAAATTAAAAAAAAAAAAGTTGCTCACCTCGCTCGTGAAATCCTCTCGCCGACGGCTCCTTCGGTCCTTCCGCCGGCCACTCTCGTTGTTGATTACATCATTGCCAACACGAGCGCCGCTTGTTCCATTCCGGCCATTGCTGACAGTGTCAATCATCAAGCATGCAGGAGTCTCCTGTAATATTATTGTTGATCCATCCCGCGATGCATAAGCAGTTGTTTGCCTGACTCATATTCTTCTTGACAATACCAATGTGTGTGTGTGTATATATATATATATAGACACACACTGTTGGGATGCAAATACGCGTGCGAGACAAAAATATATTTGGTTGCCATGGGTGTGAAACTACTGGGGATGTCTCTGTTCATCGGCGGCGGCCGTCAGTTCGTCCAACGGTGGCAGCCGACTGAGGGGAAGACTGTTTCACTCGATCGGCTAGGGTTAGTCAGTGCTAAATGATGATTTCATCCCACCGCACCTATTTTTCTTTTTTTTTGACAATTATATCCTTTTATGTTTCTTCTGCCGTCTACTGAGGTGGTAATAGAAATAAATCTAGCTAGACCCTTGGATCAAAATAGATACACGGTTCCAATACTTCTCAACTTTTGGACCTAGGGTAACTTCGAAGCTAGAAATAATTAATCCTAGCTTTGTGAAAAAATTTTAACACTCGATAGTCATTAAAACTTTTTTACACATTTTAAACAGTGGAAATGTCTTGGTGAGATGAAGTAACGTGTATGCATCTAAAGTGGTAGTACTTTCCTGCAAATGACTAATCATATCGCACTATTGAAGAATTGATCTTTACTGGGTCATGCAAAATTCACATTAGTCCCGGTTCGAGTAGGAACTAGGACTAAATACGGTTTAAAAACCCACGGGTACTTTTTTGATATTTAGTCCCAGTTGGTAACACCAACGGGGACTAAATATCAATTAGAGAAAGATGGGGGGTCCATTAGACTAAATATCGGAGCCTTGTGTCCTTGGATTCAAAAACATGTCAGACACCCCATTATCTTTAGTCCCGGTTGGTGTTATGAACCGGGACGAAAGATCCACCTTTAATCCTTGTTGTTTTTACTAACCGAGACCAAAATTAAAAAATCGCGAACAGCTGCCCTGAGAGGGGCGCAGAGCCACGCGCCTTGTCCTACCCGCCTCCTTATCTCCTCACACCTCATCCTCCCCGCCTCCCTATCTCCTCATCCTCTCCTCCTCCCCTCTCATGTTCTCACCCTCTCCTCCTCCCCTTCCCCTCTCCTCCTCCTCCTCCCCTGACGATGGTGATGATGGTGATAGCGGGCGGCGCCCTGGTGGAAGCGGCCATGGCAGCGCATGAGGCGGCAGGCGGACGGTGGCCTCCCCTCCACTATATCCGGCGGGAGGAGAGGCTGGGCGGTGGAAGCGGTCGCCGCGGCGGGCTGCCGAGAGGCAGCGGCAGCGGCCGGGAGGCGGCGCACGGCCGGGTGGCCTCCCCTCTGCTAGATCCGGCGTTGAGGGGAGGCCAGGCGTCAAAAGCGGCCGCGACGGCGTCCGGGAGGCAGTGTACTGCTGGGCGGCTGGCGGCGCCGAGGCTTTCGTGGTTTTTTTTTATTTTTTGAATGATTTGCAAATTTTGTTGTAGATTTTTTTAGATTTGAGGATGAATTTGTGAATGACTCGTGGATTGTAGATGATTTTTTGGATGGGCATGTGAATTGTGGATGATTTGTTGTGGATTTGGGCGTGACAATATAATTGCTAGTAGCAAAAAAATAATGGAGAAAAAAGATCCATCTTTTGTCCCGGTTATTTTATCCGAGGATAAAGATGTGTATCTTTAGTCCCGGATTAGACGTCCCAGTTTGCAACCTGGCACTAAAAGGGGTTGCAAACCGAGACTAAAGAGCCCTTCCCTAGCAGTGTCAGAGGTCTGCGAAGGAGAGTAGTTGCAATTATTGCTGGATCCTCTGGAGTTGTAGGTTACAGCACATAAATATAATGAATTTTGGAGGGTGTGACGCATCTTAATACTACGAATTTACATAGGTGTATATATCACATCTCTTCAAAATCCAATATATTGTGGGACAGAGGGAGTGCATGGTATGTAGCTTCATGGGGTCAATTTTCCAGATTAAATGCATAGAAAAGGAACAGTCAATTCAGGTCAGTTCAAATGCTTGGTGGAATGATTATTAAGCAAGACTCATTTCAACTGGAGTAGTTAACTTGTCTCCTTCGCCCCCATTACTACTTCTTCATTGATTATCTGGTGTAACCACCGTCCATTTTTTCTTTGATATTTCACAGCGAAAGGTCCACTGAACTTGAAAATTTTATTTCGGACAATCTTTCACTCATGGACTTTTTTTTTATTTACTTTATCCATTAGTTAAATAGGCTACTGTAGGATTTGGAAAAATATTGCATAGAGTAAGTATCACTAACAATAGGCGTTGTTTTCCATACATACTCACAGGTTATGCCAAGCATTATGGTGTTTGCTAATTTCAATGGAGTGTGTATTATTCAGGATATGAGCTGAAAAACAGGACAGGGGGTGGCCATTGTCCAGAAAGCACATCAGACACAAAGGGGCTGTTTTAATTTTTTTTTTGGGTAAAACTTGGCTTAGTTTAATTTTTTTATCTCTCAACTCTTTGAGCAAGCTAACAAATAAATGGTAGTATGGATAAATGCTTATATTGACTATTTTACAAAACTACTGTCGTGGGGGCGGATGTTATCTAACTTCAGAAGATAAAGTGATGGGCTTTATTGTGTTTTGTTGTTGAGGGGAAAAAAGGGTCTGAGATGTGGTAATAGAAATTTTTTTTTCCCTTGAGATCAATACTTGTATAAAAAAAATATAGTAAAAGTACTATATCCTCCCTCCATTCCAAATATAAGCATTTGTAGAATTCAAAATTTTATACTAAAAATTCCAATACAGGGGAATTTAAGAATTTTTTTCGCCAATCATATTGTTAGGAGAGGAATCGAAGCAAGTCAAGATTTATAATTTGAGTACTAGAGGGGTGACTAAGACTAGAATGGAATCTTTCTCTTTTTCTCAATAGTTGAGAAAAAACAAGAAATGTTATATTTAGTAATAGAGGATTACTATTTAAGGACTATGAACGATAAAGACGCCGTGGTCAGTTTCCACGTAATATTGATGAGATGTCATAATCCTCAAGTCAGTCAATCTTAGATTCCTAAGGAGCAACGAATTGACCTTAGGAATCCAAGTGAAAATATCAAAAACTGGATTAAGGCACACACATGTCCATGACATATTAACAGCTTCTTCAAGTCTCATGCATGACTCAGTCACACCATGTGACCTACGCTGATCACGCATTGACAGGGAGTGCTGACACTCTGAGTCTAAATCACATTGAATTCGATGAAAATCCTAGTAGATATTTGTGGTTACCTAGTCAGCTAATCTACAGGTTTTGCGTACAATGCCTTGGACTACTCATATCTGTACGTGCTTCATAATTTGTTGAACTGCATAAAATGGCCGATGTAAAACACACAGCTTGAATTTCTTGAAATTTTATACTATTTATAGCATAGTATTTTTACGGTATCTCCAGCAGCGGAGCTAGCTCCCGGGCAGGTTGGGCGTTTGTCCATGCTTTCTCCACTACGACCGATAGCTATGGGTTACTGTCGACGAAAAACGCTATCAGTCGCTCGGGTTAACGGCGTCGCTGAGTACCTGTTAAGCTATCAGGAGGTATGGAACTTCATATTATAGAATTTGACGCCTCTTACAACTCAGGTATCGCAATAACTGTAAAATTTGTTTATTTAAATATATTTAATCCATTTGGCTGGACTAGCATAATAGATTTCAGATAAATTACATAAAATTGTTCCTGGTGTTAAATTTAGCAGTTGAACCGTAGAATAAATTACACCATCTCGCCTGTACCTAACCAACGGACATTCAAGAGACAAACCGGAGTAGACAACAGCAATCTTTAACAAAAAGGAAAAGAAAAAAACGTTGATAGTTACAACAGGGCGCTGCAATATATGTGCACAAACGCCCAGTAACTAATTAGGAATCAACCGCAATAAAGGAATGCATCCTTGTTCTAGGTATTTACTCCCAATACATAGTTTGCTCCAGAGAGTGAGAGGCAGAGAGTTGCATAGCAGCATAAGTAGCAGCCATCGGCAGACATTGGCAGCTCGATGGCAGAGAACACAAACCATACCCCCACATAAGCCATGTGTTTTGGCTAGACAGGTTGGACGATATCTCAAAGAACAAACTCACCGAGTTGCTCGCATAGATGTTGGTGGCTAATCGGAATGGAAGGCCTTTGGGATATCGCTCGTGCATCGGTGGATTCTCAGATTACACCGTACCTTTTCTCGCATGGATGGTGCACCTGCTTCTGCATTCAGGGATCAAAACTTCACGGACAAACATACTTGAAAGTAGCTGCTGGAGCTGTGATGTGCGACGACAGAGGAAGATACAAGACAGCGGCAGCCCAATTTTGTACGCAAGGCGAGATGATGGTGGAAGTTATGGCATTGCTGTAGAGCAGCTGAATTTACAGATCCGGATCCTCCCTGCGGTAATTCATAGGAACACTGTGTCAACAGTTCATCGTGTATACCGCTACAATGAAGTGATGTAACACTGTAGCAAATTAGCTTCTCTATAGTTTATTCCTCAATGCAGAGGATCTCGATCCTGAACTGATAGTTAAGCTAGGAGGAACGAAAGTCATCATCGAAACATATGCTATGGAATTGGCGAGGATGGTGTATTTTGAAACAGTAGGAGCTAAACCGGTCTATCATTGGACCATGATCTAAGAACTAAAGTCGAGGCTAAGAGTTTTCTAGGAATTAAAGATAATCTAGGTTTGACCCTCGTCCCTCAGTGAATATGGTCGCGCATAAGTTTTCTCATTTCCTCCGGTTTTTATTTCATACTTCCTTGATGATGATTGTAAGAAACCTTAATGTGGCTTCAATAGAGTGCTACTACTATCGTCCCAAAATAAGTTCATTTCTCCAATACAAAACAAAAAAACAAAAAGGATTGGAATGCATCTACTTTATCAAATCTCAAATCTCAGTACAATTATTCATTGCTTTATCTTTTCCCAATACATTTATTCTCTACTTTCACAAACTCTGATGCAATTTGGTGGAACCGAGTTAGTGATCTCGCGGGTATTGTCATCAAAACAACGGTCTTTACCAACATGATGGAACTCGACATCTTTGACTCGATGCCATATGAAAACTGCAGTGTCACCAATCCTGTCATGTGACATGTGGTCGATTTAGTGACATATCGGTCGACTCTCCAACTCTCCAGATTTTGGACCCTCACAATTAGTTAGCGTTTCCTCCGAATTTATGTTTAGACGCTTCTAAGTGTACTCCTACCAGACATACTTGTACAAATTAAGGAAATAGTGAATTTACCATTCTACCCTTCATCCCCTCCCATCTCTACCTTATCCATGCCAAGCTTTTGTACGGGGAGATGGCAAGGAGTGTCAAATAAAAAAAAGATGATTCCCGAATGACTTGCGATGTCATGCAAGAAAGGATGGAGGGAGTAGCTTTTTCTTCTGCAATTATATTTGCACATAAATATTTGCCCCAATTGTAGATTCTATGCCTATCACCTACTCGCGGCCAACATAATACTTTAGTATTACTATTCATCAACATTGTACATCAATTTGGTAGGCATTCACAGAATACCAAGTTTGAATCATATTATAATTTTGTTACAACTTTTAGTTTACTTTATGGATTTCCAAATATTTATAAAGATATATTGCCAGTACCATTAAGTGGGAGGGGGGGGAGAAACGATATGATAACAAGATTTATGTTGTGCACATATTCTTTTCACTGCAATATATTCGTGTCTAATTCTTGAGTATATACATTACTTAAATTCGTGTTCTGTCTTAGACCAAGTTCTACGTGGGACCTAAATTTCAGTTAATGATATCTTTGTGTGAGACAGTGGCTCACTGAAATCTCGGTTAACTAGGTGAAATACCGCGCATTGCTGCGAGAGTTTAGTATGACAATAATAAGTAAAAATAATGCGTAAGATAGCTAAATAATATTAACTTACTTAAGTTGATGTGGTTTATCATAATTTAAATTTAAACACTAAATAGAATGATGGTTCAAATGTAAAAAGTAAGGTGACGTGGCTCTCTGAGAGAAGAAAAGTAATGAGATAGTTTGAACTTTGAACCATAGATTAATCGTTTAAGACGACTTGATGAGAGAAGAGAGAAATAACACTACGTAAGGATAAACTAAATAGGTATATATGATAATATAAAAAATAACGATTTAACATACTTGTATTTTCAAACTATAAAATTTAATAAATTATAAAATTATAGATAATATAGCATGCTTACATGATGTTTAATTAAATGTAGTAATTGCTAGTGGCTGATGATTTTGCATCTTGTTAGTGTATGATGATACGACATCTTTGTCTGTTAAGTTTTAGAATTTAGTGTGTTACAACTTTATACTAAGATAGGATATGACTATGTTGGATCTTTGTCACGCCCCGAACTAATCCCGACCGGAACTAGCCCGTGACGCTCCAAATTAACCTGTTGATCGATACCAGTCCCAGGAAACAGTGCTGGTATCACAGGGAGACAGAATATCACAGCAACAGCGGTCTCTTTATTATAGAGTAGAGATACAGTCATGTTGGGCTATGGACAGATCCCGAGCTCACAACTGCATTACAAAAGGGAAACGGAAGCCAGGACTAGGACCAACCAACACAGGCGTGACTTGGGAACTAGGCCGAAACCCTAAAACTCATCGTAGCCGGCTTGCTCCTGGAAGAACTCCTCATCAGCAGGATCCGTTTTATCTTCTTCAGTAATTGGGGGGTATATTTATATAGAGCAAGGGTGAGTACGGGAGTACTCAGCAAGCCAAGGGAAATAAGTGTTTAATGCAGGCTTCAAGGAAAGGCTGTTGTTTTTGCAGTTGATTTTATTTGAACTCTTTTCTAAAAACAACTAAGTGAGTGCTTCTCAAATGACACGGTTGAGACAGTGCGTCACGTCCGCTCGGAGTATGTGCAATGTATCAGTCTTTAGACTTGAATTAAGGTTGGCACCCGGCCAACAGCTTTTCAAACGGCCACCCGGGCCAACAACTTTCAAACGGCCACCCGGGCCTAGCTGATCCCATCAGCTGCAGATTTTTCAAACAGCGAACCCCTTTCCACAACAGCAATTTCACAAGCAGTAGTCAAACAAAACTACGCTAGGAATCACCTCACATCCGCCCATAACCGTGGGCACGGCTGTTCGAACAGTTTGTTAACCTCTGCAGAGGGGGTACACTTTACCCACACGACATTACTAACCCGGATCACCCAGCCCGTGGGGATCAGCCACGTCGGGAGACCTCCAAGCTTTCATGACAAGGCATTTCCAAAGCCGACACAGGTTTACCATATGCCAACGAGAGGGGTCCCAGACCAACAACAGGTTAGGTCCCAGACCATACTGTGCCAGGAAGCCCAGGGGTCCTCCCCGACACCACCCCGGCGAATCCACATGTCTCTCGGCATCAAGGCTCCCCTAATAAGCTAGTTACTCAGCCAGGGGTGTCCCATTCCACCCATGTGGTCGTACTTGTCTTATGTTCGAATGAAATTCCAAGGAAACGGTCCTTAGGTGCAAGAGCGGGAAAACCGTACACCCGGTACGTTCCCCGGTCCGCGGTTTTGGAAATTCATTTAGTTCACAAGCACCGACCCAGGTGTCGGGTTTTCCAAGTCTTTTGTAAAACCCAAGTTTTACCCAAGTTGTTACTCAGATTTTAAGTTTGAAGGCGACCGTCGATACTCGCACAGAGTGCACGAATATCGAGGCGCAACTAGATGGTTACAAGGGAACATGATATAACAATTAACAAAGGAAGGATCAAATGCAACAAATTAGGTAGGTCCGCCAATCTGCCTTGCAGACGGGACAACAGATTAAGTGCGATCCTATCAATGCATAATATTTTCAAGCAACATAATTAAATTTCAAATATAGGCTCAAGATGTTCAAAGGTGGCTTGCCTTGCTCGAGATCTGGAGCTTGATCCTCGAAATCCTCGCACTGCGGGTCTTCGGGCTCCGAAACTACACGCGAAACGGGACAACTCAACAAACAGCGAAAATAAAGCCCTATTAATGACCTCTAAGCATGCCATTAGATAGATCTCGAGATTTGAGGAATTTTGGAAGTTGAACGGAGTCAAATGGATTTACGGTTGGGAAGATATTGAATTTCTAAGATTATTGGATTTTTGGTCTAAAGGAAAAGGATTTAATTAAATCCTTTTTGACAAAAGAATAGAGAAGAAAAGAAAAGAGGGAGGGAAATTAGACTTTTCCTCGGGCGGCTAGGGCGCGGCCCGAGAGAGATGGGGCGGTCCGGCCGAGCTAAATGGGCCGGCCTGCCCAAGACGGCCCAAGGCGGCCCAGGGCGCGCGCGCGCGGGAGGGAGGAGGGAGAGAACCGGTGGACCGGGCTCACCACGCGTGGTCCCGGGTGGGACCCGCTTGTCGGTGACTCGGTTTACCATGCGGAGCGAGCACGCGGCGCACGCGCGCGAGCGGGGGAGGGACGCGGTGCACGCGCGCGGTTCGCGGTGGAACGGATGCGGCGGGCCCACGCGCAGCCTCACGGCTCGTGGTGGAACGCGCGCACGGGTGGGGCTGACCGGGGTCGGCCCAGGCCGATCTCGGCCGAGCTGGGGCCGACGTGGCGCCTACGTGGCTGCCACGCGGGCTGGCGGGAGGTAGACGACGACGCCGGCCGTAACGGACGGCGGACGACAGCGGTGAGCGGCGGAGCGAACCATGGCGTTACAGGCGAAAGCGAGTACACCGGGTGGTTGCTCAGGATGAGGGGAGACGAGCCAACGGCTCGGATTCGCTGGAGGGAGTGCGTCGACGGCGGATTGCGGCGGCGGCAACCGGCGGGGAGGGAAGAGGGAAAAGGCGACGAGGTCACGAGGGGCCAATCCCCGGCGGTGAGAGCATCTACACGGCTACGGGAATCCGTCCCTAGCGTCGGATTGGGCGGAGCTACGCCTAGCGAGGCTGGCGACGAGCGGGTGCTACGGAGCACGGGCGGCAACGGCGGCGAGCACATGGCGAGCGGCGGCAACGGGCGGGGGGGCGCCGGCTAGCTACGGGGAGGCTACACATGCTACTACCGAAAACTAAGGGGGAGAGATGGAGCGAGGAGGAAGAACGGAGGGAGGCACTACCGTGCGGACGGGGCGCAGTGACGAGAGGCCGACAGCGCGGGAGTAATCTCTCCGGCCTCGGGCCGGGGAAGAGGAAGGAGAGGGCGCGCCCGGAGTCCCCTTCCGCGTCCACGAACGCACCGGCTCTCCCAGTGCTGGGCGATGAACGGCGGAGGCGAGACAGAGCACGGAAGGCGGCGGCAATGGCGCGGTGGCGGCGAGCGAAACGGGAGGGGGAAATCGATGGGAGGGCGCCTTGGCTTATAGGACGACGATGTCGGTTTGGAAACCGACCTTGGGCGGTCAAGGCGCGAGCTGGCGCTCGGCGCTCGCGGCCAAAACGGTGACAGAGGCAGATGACGCCGGCGGGGAGGGGAAAAGGAAAAGAGGGAGAGAAAAGGGGGCTTGCCCCTTGCCTCTTTGCGGAAAAGAAGGAGGGGAGCGGGGGCGACGCGACAGAGGGAGGGGGGCTCTCCTGCGTCCCTTGGCGGCTTGCGCGCGGAGTGGTGGGGCCGAGGCAATGACGACGGCGATGACGGCGGGGCGGTT